CCCCAAAACCCCAAAACCCCAAAACCCCATTTTATTTTAAAAAAATTGATACAAAAAGATATGGGCTGTTGTGTGAAATTTGGATTGTATTCAGCAGGTGAGCTGGGTGGTTAGCTGGGATTTTAGTGGGAATAGAAGGGATTAGGGGCAGGAATTGATCTATATGGGGGGTTGGACTGGTCATTGGGGTTATGGAGGTGATGTGGATATAGGATTCGTTGGGATTATTTATATGATAATCTATTTCATAAATCAGAGTTCACTACCCAGTGGGGTTATTAGGCTAAATACTAGCTTTAATGGCACTGCAGATGTGTATATGGAAGAGAATGGAGCTGCAAGGATAGTGGCAGAGAATGAGCAAGCGGCTCTTTATGCTAATGGATATGTTCTTGCTTCCAGGAGGCTATGGCAACTTGAGTATTTAAGAAGATTAGCTCAAGGAAGAATGAGTGAGATTTTTGGAGATGATACTTTTCTGAAGGAAAGAACGGTCCATTATGATTCAGCGATTCGGTAGGGACTGATTCTAATTTTCTAGCACTCTTGGATTAACTTCTTCCTGTCAATCACCATATCCACACATGGCACCTTACATACAGGGTATAAATGATTACGCTTTGACACACATTTTTCCTACTGAATTCCATTCATTCGATATCATCTTTCAGAACTGGACAGAGACTGACTCCTGAACTATTGAGAAATTGGTAAGATTCTCAGGGGTTGGAGACTGGGGTGTTGAAATTCTCAAAGATTTCAGAAGTAATTTTTACCAATCTTACTAATTTTAGCTGCTATTACTCAGAACAAAGACCTAGTAACACAAAATGCAGATTCAGAAGATATGAGCATTGGAGTTATCAATAAAGAAGAATTTGAAGCACTTGGAATCAAGAATCAATCAAAAAGCCCCCAAAAAGATCCAAATTTTCAAAATTCTGCAGAAGCTTATCTAAAAGAGACTATTGATAACATTGTAAGAGAGATTGAAGGATTTGGAATTAATGGAGGCAGCTCCTGGGTTATCAGTGGCGAACATACTGCCTCAGGAAAGCCTATTATTGCTAGCGATACTCATACTGCCAATACTCTACCATCAGCTCTCTATTTTTGGACGACAGAATATCCTAATGGTAGATTTATTAGCGGATCTACTGTTCCAGGAATACCTTACTACTTGAATTTTGTTACTGAGAAAGTTGGTAAGTTTCTGTGCAATAATCCATAGCTGTGGCAGGAACTTCTATTCCAGCAGATACAATAGATATCTACAAAGAAAAGATTATTGGAGACGAATACGAATATGAGAACAAGCTCTATCCCCTCACAACCAGAGAAGAGATCATTAAAGTAAGAAGTAATGAAGATGTTGTCCTGAAGATTAACAGTACAAGGCATGGCCCACTGGTAAGCTCCTAATTTAATTCCTCTCTAGATGACAAAGAGTATCAAGGCTCTAGCCAGTATTTCAAAATGGACCCCAGCTATTCTACCAAGTGGTGATTATTCGTTCAAATGGATTGGAAGTCTAAGTCAAGATGGAAGTTCTTTCGATTCTCTAAGGGCTATTAATAATGCTCAATCAGCTGAAGAGCTACTTGACCTAATCAAAGCTTCACCAAGTCTTAATCAGCATGTTATTTTCTGTGATGTAAGGTTTCTAATAAACAATAGAATCTTGGAAAACACGGGAATATTGGATATGCTCCAATGGGATCATATCCCAAACGTAAAAATGGTGAAGGTAAGAATCTGTTCTACTCTAAATCTAGGCCATACTATTTCAAGAGGTTGGATAAATGAAAATGAATGGAACTCAGATATTCCAGCAGACTCAAAACCATACCTTTTTAACCCAAAGAAGGGATATATTGTGACTGGAAACAATCCTATTACTTCTCAGGAAGTCAACAGTGAAATTTCTTCCTTTACGCTTGGAACTGCTCGAGCATACAGAATCACAGAGATGGTAGAAGAATTAATTCATACTAAAAGTATCTTCCTTTTCATAGTTTAGGTGGAAAAATCAGTTATAAAGACGTCACAAATATCTTTGGAGACAAGAAGGATTCTTTATGTCCCAAGAAGAAAGAGTATGCAGACTTCCTTGATCAGAATAATTTAACAATTTGAAACACTTCAATTCTCAGTATATTCAAGATCCAAATTACCTTGTTTTCCTGTTTATCTTCCTCTATAACTCAAGCTAATCTCATTGCCAATTCTAGGAGCTTCAAGGCAGCTAAAGTCTTCATGGAGGGTAAAACTATATTTTTAGAACTTTAGCGAATAACACTCAAGATAAAGAGGCTGAAGAGATTATTGATAAGATTGATAAGTGGGATTGCCAATTCGATAAGGACTTATCAGAGCCTCTATACTTAACCTTTTGGGAATATGTATATATCTTCAATAACTTGTAGTTCTTCAGAAGCAGTTTTATGGCAAATAAATTCATGGACTATCCGTCGGCACATATGAAGATTTTCTCACATCCTGATTTTGAGATGAACTACATGAATTTGTACAGTAATATCTCAGAGAATCCAAACAAATTTTGTAAGTTTCAGTGTTATTTTTAGCGCAATATTGTACTTCATATGCCAATATGACTACTCATTCTTGTGCAGAGAATATGTACTGGGCGCTAAATCATACTATTCGTTACATGAAAAGATTCCGCTCGTTATCAACTCAATGGGGTGATCTACATTTAATCCAGTACAATTCATTAGCCTACACAAATGAATTCTGGCGTTCGCTTTATAATAAAGAAGTCCGTGATAATGGGAATGGCAACACAGTAGCTTTCTCTTCAGTCAACTTTGACAGGTTTAGAGGAAGATATTCACAGAATTTATATGACTTTCTGTTTGATCCTCCAAAGGAATTTGCTGCTGCCTCCTCTGTAGGCGCCAGAATTGTCTCAACTATGGATGGCACTTTACAGTGGAGTTTGAGTACTGGAATTTCAGAAAGTTTGCTCTCGGGTCATTATTTTGATATGAATGCAGATCATATAAACCAAGAAATGACCAATAGTAAGAGGATAGATAAACTTTTAGCTACTGGAATCAAGGAAGTTAAGGAGAAATGGCAGTTTAGAATTATTTTTGGCGATCATGAGGTTGAAAAGAAGGACGATCTTTAAGCTAAATTTCAACTTGAATTTCTACATTTGGGGTTTTGGGGTTTTGGGGTTTTGGGGTTTTGGGGTTTTGGGG